ACACACACACACACACACACACACACACACACACACACACACACACAAGAAAAGTTCAAAAAGGGACTTATATAGATAAACAGGGCAGAACTGGAACTATCACAACAATTGTGATACATACTTAAAAAAAATAAAGTTGTACATAATATTCACAGTGTCATACACAATTCCATGTTCTTAATTACATAAGGAAATATTCATATTTATTGATGATGGTCAGGTTCATATTTTTTAACTTATGTTCAACATATACTTTTAAAAAGATACATAATAGTTCAAAATTTCAGATACAATCTTCTATATTGTTTATTGAAATGTTGAATTTGTTTAAGTTCATAATAAAAATGTAAAATAAAAGAAAGATATGTATAAAAATCATAGGAAAGGGAGAGGTTATGAGACATAGAGATGACAGCATGCATCCATTGAAGTATCAAAGAAACAACAAAACTTTAAAGCTGCTTATTTTAACTACCTTTTCTATTTCTCTCTGTGTAGCTCCTTCTTTTTTCAAACGTTCTTGTTCTAGACATTTGGCATTGTAATTTTCCTTGGATTTCTGGAGGGCCTGAGTTATACTCTGAATATTTTGTACAGCTTCTAGAGTTCCTGCAACTTCCTCCTTAGTCTGTTAAACAACAAGCAATTCATCAAAATGATATAATAACAGGAAAACAATATTTAACTATATATTCTTTGGTAAGAGAAAAGGGATACCTTTTTGTGAGATTTTAATTGTTCTTCTCCATACTTCTGCACTTCCTTTATTAGTTCTTGTAACTTTCGAACAAGTTCCAAGTGGCAGCTTGCTAATTTTTCTGTTGACGACTTAAATACATCCCACACAGGTGCAAATGTTCTAGAAAAAAATCACAAATAATGACATGGTTAAGTCTAAACTTATATCTTAATTCTATATTACTATTTTTTTTCAATTTTAACAAATATTAATTCAAAATAAGCACAAAGGTATTCTAAAGACTAATCCAAATTACCTGATCATTAACTATTTTTTTCTCTCCCAGAACTACTCCTGACTCCGGACTTCTCCATCTCTATTCCACTTGCCTTCTCACCCTGGAGATGTTACCATCCCTGCAGCCCTGCACTCCAAACGGTGAGTTCCTCCTGACCAGAATCTACATGTGAGTAAGTGCTCATGCTCATTTCTCTCCCAGCTTTGCTCCTGATTCTCCACTTTTACATCCTCTCCTCCACCCCCCCTCCACACCTCCCAAAAAGGGGCAGAAATGGCCTCACAGCCTTAGGTGTCTATATATCAATTCCCAAAGTCCAGATCATAAACAAAGCAAGCTAGAGATCTCCAAAACAGATGGTAATTGTAGCCTTACAGGTATCTCTGAGACTTGCTAGAAGATCTGATGGTGCAATGGATAGAGCACTGGATTTGAAGTCAGCTACTACTTAGCAACTCTGTGACCATGTGCAAGTCCCTCAACCTCACTAAGTTTCAGTTTCTTCACCTTTAAAATGAGGGGGCTACTAGACAACCTCTAAGGACCTTCCAATTCTAAAGCTATGACTCTATAATTCATGACAGTCTATAGCGATGGAAGGGATAAATTTTTTTTTTTGCTTTTTGGTGAGGCAATCAGGTTAAGTGACTTGCTCAGGGTCACACAGCTAGTAAGTGTCAAGTGTCTGAGGTCAGATTTTGAACTCAGGTCTTCCTGAATCCAGGTCCAACGCTCTATCCACTGCACCATCTAGCTGCCCCAAAGGGATAAAATTTTATGAAAAAAGAAGAGATTAAATAGGAGAAGTAGAGCAGAAACATAAAGATCCATCTGTGTAGAAAACCATGAACCTGAAAAGAGGAGCACTGTAGAAAACATCTGAGTGAGTACCTAAGGAAGAAGGAAAAAACGTGATTTTTGTAGTGAGAGTACAGCTCAAATTGTAGACCAACTTGAGGAAATGAATGAAGAAGTTAAATACAGATAAGTATAAAATTCTATACTTAGGTGCTTTTTAAAAAAAAAAAACAGCTATATAAACATAGGATGAGGCAAGACTTAACCAAAATACACTTAATGGGAAAAAGAAATAGTGGTTCTATGTAATACAAATGCAACATGAGTTAGTCATGTCTGTAGCTCTGCAACAGCAAAAAAAGTTAATGCCCTCTTGGGCAACATCAAGAGAAAGAGAAAAGGTGTTCAGAGCAAAAAAGGAGATAGTCTACCTAAGCAGTACCTAATGGCATCTCCAGTAATTTGTTCTTGATGCCCTATTTTTGAAGGGACAGCATGGTACAACAGAAAGAATATGTGTAAAATGGGTATTGTATGTCTTGCCTTCTCAATGGAGTAGGGGGTGGGAGAGGTGGGGAAGAAACTAGAAATGAAAATAAAAACTTTTTACTGCATTTTAGTCAAACTAAAGAGAAAGTAAGTTTTAACTGATTTTTTTTAAATTATGGCAGAACAATTTAAGTCTCTTTAGGGAAATCTAAATATCCTTCTATATTTTTTGCATATATCCATAACAACATAACACTAAAAAACTGTTAAGTATACAAATTGTTTAATAAAAGTAGAAAATATCAAATGACTGGTTCATTTCAAATCTATTAACTGATTTAAAATAGGTTTTCTATTTAACCTGCACGATCTCCCAAAAATAAAAACCTTAGGGCATATATAGCTATCCTATTAATCAGAATACAAACTGCCCTCTCCAATCCCATCCCCCAACCTGGCTTGCATAAAACCTGTGGGCAGCCTATAATTACATATTAGGGTGATAAACACAGAGGAATAAGGTCTCCCCCGCAGCAGCAGAAACAGCAGCAACAGCTTGTCACAACACGCTAAAGGATCCTAAGCCAGACACCAGACACTGGTGCTATAACGTAAAAGAAGGAGATGTCCCTACCATGTGTATTCCCGATAATGTCCTGCATCCTTCCTCCTATCCCCTTAATAAAACAGGAGTTCTTAACCTTTTCTGTGTTATGGACCACTCAGGCAGTCTGCAAAAGTCTATGGACCATTCTCGGAATAATGCTTTTAAATTCATAACATAAAATACAGATTGCAAAGAAAATCATTTATATTGAAATAAAGTTAAAAAATATTTTTTAAAAACATGTTTACGGACCCGAGGTTAAGAACTTCTGCTTTAGACACAGAAATCTCACAGAAAAACTCATCAACTCATATCTCTCTCCTATTTACCCTAGGCAAGAAAGAACTGCTAGGTATGAGTTGTAGAAAGTTGTAGAAAGGGAGTTAATCTCCATAAAAGGCATACTTTGTCCTGTGGCTTAGCCTCTACGTGAAGAGGAGACTATACAGAATTCAGTATTACTGAAAAAGTAAAAAAGTAGGAAAAGAGGGATAACAGACCCCACAGATTATTAGGATTTCCAAACTTTGCAAATGATTCAGATACTGCCCTGGGTGTAGAATGAGAGGTTGTGGAATGATCCATTTATATTAGCTTCCTCCTTGGCCAGGAATAATCAATTTTTTGTGCCTGTTTGCTATTTAAAATTTTCCTACTTTCTCAGATCCTTTTTACTTGCTATAATGTAAAATTTTTGTGGGACAGAAGCTTATTTGCTTTTAGAAAAGAAAAACTACATGCTTCTCCTAAGTGGATTGTGTTTTTACCACAGTACTTTTTTATTGTATACCTATTTTTTTTTCCTTTCAATGAGAGATCATAGAGACATGACCTATGTGCAGGGTTATCAATATACTGACATGAACAATTTACTTTACATAGATACATACAGAATCATGCAAAAAGAGGAACAAACTATATTAACTTACCCAAGTTGTGTATAATTGCTTGCTGATTTTGCTAGTTTTGTCATTGACCGTGAATATGCCTCTTCTATTGTAGCCCTGTTTAAAAAGAAACAAAGTTCCCATAACATTACTTACAGTTTAGTGACTCAAAAATATCAAACTAGAAGTAAGACCTATATTAGTACCAGAGATAATTCAAATTACTATATTAAAAATTGCTTTTATAAGCAGATCAGAATATAAGGAGCTAATTAATATTTATATCTATTCTAAAGGAATTCATGGAACTTGTAATTAATTACAATAGTTACCTCTTCCCTCTTTTATATAGTAGTACTCAGTGATTACAACAGGAAACTGAAGAGTGATGCTTACATTCTCTACTACTGAATCACCATGCTAAATCATTTGGTATAACACTTATTAATTCTGCAATATGCTTTACACACTTTTATTAGTCCTTACAACTCTGATATAGGTCATTATTACAGTCATTTTACAGATCAGGAAACTGAGGACCAGTGATCTGCCCCAACTTATATAATGAATCATCAACTCCTCAATTCCAATTACTTTCAAGCTATATCTACTGGCTTCACAAACCAAAATTTATTGCGCTAGAAAATTGTGGTTCATACATTTATTATTCAGTTTAAGTTTCTGGGTTGCTTCAGGATAAGAAGGGAACATCAAGGAAGGATACAAGGGAAACTAGTCCTTTCCACAAAGTCAGAGGCCATAGCATATAAATTTCTGGAAATGAGCTAGAAAAACCATTTGCCCCCTATCAACACATAGGAACAAGGACTGAATATAACCTGTTATCTATTTACATGCTTTATTTAAATGACTAATTCCTTTTCAAAGCTTATACTTCTAAATCACAACAAAGTAGGCATAACTACCTAAAGTTATAATAATATGACAAAATGTTATTACAGTTATAATAGAAAAACTAAAAGTAGAGAGATAACCCAAGGATCAAAAGAGTGAAAACAAGTGAAATTTTATCATCTATATCTTCAAAAAGTTGATGAAACTAAAATTAGGGTATAGTTTTCTAAAGACACTTTGACCACAACTTCCTTCCAGTTACCTTATACTACCTTGATTTCTGTGGCACTATTCCATCCCAGTATCTCCTATACATCTTTTTTCTGAATCTCCCTCTCCCTGACCACAAATTATAGAGAGACATTCTAAAAAGATCAAATCCTAGGCCCCGTTTTTCTTTTTTTTATACTCTCCCTTTGGAAAGCACATCCATCCATTCTTCTAACCATCTTCTGAGACCACAGGGTACAAATCTGAGAACTGAAAAGATAGTGATGACTTCAAAGGAGATAGGAAAGGTTGGAAGAGGAGATTTAGGAGGAAAGGTAATGATTTCCGTTTCAGACATATTGAGTTTAAGATATCTCCAGAACATCAAGTTTGAAATGTCCAATAGGCAACTGGTGATGCGGAACTGAAGCTCAGAGTCATCTTCAAAGTCATCTTCAAAGATGATAGTTAAACCCACGAGACCTTATGAAGTTCTAAAAGAAAGAGACAGTCTTAGAAGAAGGGAAGAAGACCCAGGAAAGAGCCTTGGAGAAAACCCACAGTCTAGGGGGAATGATGAGGATGATGAGCCAGCAAAAGAGATTAAAGAGTTGGTGAACCAGGAGAGAAAAATGTCATGAAAAGCGAGGGAAGAAAGAATGCCCAGGAGGAGAAGCTGGTCAACAGGGTCAAATGGATTTAGAAGGTTTAGAGCTGAAAAAAGACCACCAGATTTAGCAGTTAACTAATTACTGGTCAATTCCACAGGACAAATGATGAATCATGCTACCCATCCTTAACTGAGAGGTAAAGGAAGATATATCACAGAAAATTTTTGGACATGGCCAATGCGGGAATGTTTTGTCTATCTATTCATATTAGTTACAGGGGTAGGAGATGGGGAAGAGAAAATAAATGCTAGTTAATAGAAAATAAGTAAAATAAAACAAAAGTATAAAATGAAGCTGGGCAGTTTTTTTTTTTTTTTATGGGGGGGTATCTAGGCAATGGGGTTAAGTGACTGTGTGACAGAGTCACACAGCTAGTAAATGTCAAGTGTCTGAGGCTGCATTTGAACTCAGGTCCTCCTGACTCCAGGGCCAATGGGCAGATTTTTAGAGAGGGATCAATGGTAAGTTTGGAGAGGGCAATTTTAATTGAGTGATAAGGTCAGAAGCCAAACTGCAAGGAGTTGAGGAAACAGAAAAAAAAAGAAATGGAGGCAACAAGAGTAGACAATTTTATCAAGGAGTTGAGCTAAAAAGAGAGGAGTATAGGATGATAGCTTGAAGGGAATGGTAAGGTTCAGCAATTTTTAAAAAAATCTTAAGAAGGGGCAGAACTCTCTTAGAGCTAACAATGCTGCTGCTGATATGGTGAACATTCCCCAAACCTACAGAACTCACTTCAAGAAGGTCAGAAAGCACCAGTTTCTCCCAAAGTGACACAGTACAAGGGTATAGACTTCTTCCACCCAGGGACAAGGGGACTAAGACCAGAAGCAGATGGTAGTGAAATAAAGCCAATTTTCCACAAAGAGGACCATACTGAGGCACGTCTTCAGGTCTTGGAAGAGGCTAGTCATTAAGAGAAAATGTAAGCACAACGAACTGGGAGAAGACCAGAAAAGAAAGGACCAAGTGATCCAGATCTAAGCTTCACCTTTTTTTCATAATAAAAACAAAATGTTGAAGCTATAACATTTAAATTCTTTGGCCTCATTTGCTGTTTAGGGAGGGAAAAGTCTTGAGTCCTATCCTGTGAAGTTTTCCCCAACATAGAAAAAGCTAATTAATGCTTGGAGAAGTGGCTGAGTATGTAACTTAGTGAGATACTAAATCAGATTTAAATGTGGTTCACACAGTAAGTTCTAATGAATCTTAGCTCAAAATCTTTTCTCATTCCGAAAGCCTACCTGGGAATCGTAGGGGACCTTGGTTTCTAACACTACTGTTAAATCAGTTACTGACTATTTACGCACCCAGGTGAGCTGGTGGCTGGGGAAAGAGTAACAAGGGAACAACTCACAGCCCAGCCCAAGGTATAAAGCAGTCATACTGGTATCAGCAAATCAACAGTGAAGTCATCATCTTTAAAGGCTTTTTCAAAGTACTCTTTCAAAGTATTATCTTAAAGAAATAGCTACTTCACATATCTACTTGAGTAAAGAGTAATCCTTCAATAAATTTTTTTTTGTAAAGAGGTAAAGTTCTCAGCTAAGAGAAGAGAGTGGCAATCAGTCAATCAACAAGTATTTATTACGTGCCTACCAGGGGTCAGGCATTGTGCTAGGGGCTAGCAATAAATACAAAGAATAAAACAATCCCTACTCTTCAAGGAATAAATAAGTGATTAATAAATATTTGTCGATTGACATTCAATGGCCTGTATTAGGGATTTTTAACCTTTTTTTCATGTCATGGGCACCTGTGGCAGTCTGGTGAAGCCTACAGATTCCCTCTTGGACTAATGTTTTAAAATAATTAAAGAAAATACTAAATTTCAGATAAAGTTTAGTTAAAATAAAGATATAATTTTTCTTTCTTGTTCATATTCAAGGGTCCTTTGGCCCCAGATTAAGAACTCCTGCACTGTATAATCTGATTTTCTATTATTTGTTCAGCCAGGTAGCACAGTGGAGAAAGACAAAGCTTTGCACCTGGAGTCAGAAAGACCTGACCTCAAACACTTACTGGTTGTGTGATCCTGGGTTAAGTTGCTTAGTCTCTGTCTTCTTCAGTTTCCTCAACTGTAAAATGGGAATAGTAACAGATGGGGATAGTAATAGCACCAACTTCACAAGGTTGTTGTGAAGATTAAATGAGATATTTGTAAAGCACAGTTCCTGGCACATAGTAGGTTCTTAATAAATGTTTGTTTTCTTCCTTTTCCTCCCTATTTATCTATATGTATCAGCAGTGAAGGTAGTAGAAAGATATTTGGTAAGAGAAAGCCAGCCAAATCTCACCTTTGATACTTCTGACACATACTGGTTATATGACTCTGAAAAAAGTCACTTAAATCTTTCAGTGTTCCAAAGAATCCTCTAAATTATGAGTTGCAAAGCAGTTGCTGATATGCATTGGTGGATATGCATTCTTCACCTGGAATTCTTGCCTATATTCATGATATCACAAATCTGGATTTTTTCCTTTATTCTCACATAGAGAAACGGTTCTTAATCTAGGGTCCATGAACTTTTTTTTAAGTATTTTGAAAACTATATCTCAACATAAATGGTTTCCTTTGTAATCCTAGGTGTTTTGCTTTATGCATTTAAAAGCATTATTCTGAAGGGGTCCATTAGGCTTCTCCAGACTCCCCAAAAGACCCCATGACACAAAAAAGGTTAAGAACTCCAAACAGCATCATCACAGAACTTATATAGCACTATGTGCCAGGTACTATGCTAAGCACTTTACGATTGTTATCTTGTTCAATCCTCACAACAACTCTGCAACACAGGTGTTATTATGATCCTCATTTTACAAATAAGGAAAGCTGAGGCAAGGAGAGGTTAAGTGACTTGCCCAGGGTCACATAGCTACTAAATGTCTGAGGCCACATTTGAACTTGGGTCTTCCTGACTCAAGGCTCAATGTTCTAGCCACTATACCACCTAGCTGCCCCTACAGAGGAAGCATCAACTCTAGTCAGATGTTTCACCATTCCCTAAAATTACTCATCCCCATCCCTTTTCCTAAATTTATGTATACCATTTGGGGATAACTGGATTGCCTTCCTCTCCATGCATTCAATTTCTACTCCTCATTCATAGATTAGCTCATTTCTTCCATTAAGTTTTCCCTAACAAATCCAGCCAACATACCTTTTAACCTCTCTCTCACCCCCTCAATATTTGTCGACATCAAACATTTGGGTACCTCATTTCCTATATTTGATGTGAGCTATTTTTAACTTCCCACTTGTTTGGATGTTATGAGAAAGTAGCATAGTATAGTGGAGAGATCACTAGACTAAAAGTCAAGAAATATGAGTTCAAGCCCCAACTATACCACTTCCTAGCTATGTAATCATAGGCAAGTCAATCTCTAAGCTTCAGTTTTCTCATCCATAAAATACACTGTTAAATCACACTATCTATCTCAGATAATTGTCTTGAGGAAAGCACTTTGTACACCATAAATAAAGCAGTATATAAATGTGAGTTGTTATTGTTATTATCATTATCATTATCATTTGCCCATGGCAAGGCTCATGTATAAGAAGCCCACAATATTCTAGAGGGGGTAAATTCTAGATTGGGGATCTTTACCTGGGGTCCATGAACTTGTTTTTAAAATATTCTGGTAAGTGTATTTCAATGTAATTTGTTTCCTGTGTAATCCTATGTATTTTATGAATTTAAAAACATTATTCCAAGAATGGGTCTACTAGCTTCACCAAGCTGCCAAAGGAGTCTTAATGAAAGAAACAGGTTAAGAACCCCTGTTCTAGACTCCCTTGAAAATTCATGAGTGGCAATAATAAAGATGAAGATAGAAGAAGTGAACCAAAGGAAGGAGGGTCTAATGAGGGATAATCCATCCTATTTCTCTTCCTTCTCTTTCCTTACTTCATGCTACCTGCCCTCCCCAGCAAGTATACAATACTTAGTTCTCCCTCTTTCTCCTCATCCTTCAATCATCTCACTACACATCTCAGGTAAATACTAATCTGATTAAAGCATCCAACAATGCCTGATTGGCTTCAACCAGGTGAAGGTAAGCTTCAGTTACAGGGAAAATTAATTTATCTTGAATAGTTCATTCTCTGATGATAAATGAGGGTTATTAATTCTGTTTTAATGAAAGCAACGCACAACTATATTAAGAATGGGGGAGAGCTCAAAACAATTAAGACCACTGTTAGGTGTTTCTAGTAACAAACTCGTAAACAGCATTACAAAAGTTGAATTCCATTAATAACCAAAATCTATTGATCTGAATAGCCCTAACACTAGTAGTAATATTCTAAAAGAGGCCTTATACTTCTTGTAAATACATCAAGATGAAATTTTTAAAGTAGTATCTATCAGTTAAACATTTAGTGATTTATATATATAATTATATAATTGTCTTTTCTTATTATAGAAATACAGAAATTATTTTTGGCTAAAGAAATAGCATTTCTTACTTGTGGTCTAAAAAAAATTCTTTCATATAAAATGTTTATTGTATCATTTTACTATCTATCACATAAGATTAAAAATATAGTGTTGACACTTTGTAATTATTGTGTAGTTTCAAAGTATATCTGGTTACTTCTATATTAACTTAACAAAATATGCCAATATTACTGTAACAGTTTTCCTCTTAAAAAGTTAAAATGAACTATTAATATAAAAAACACATACCTTTCTCTTACAAAATCGGCGAGTTCCTTTGTTGATATCTGTCCATGTTTCATGTTATGGTAGAGTACATCAAAGCCACTATTTCTTTCCCCCTAAAGATTACAAAGATTTTTAGTTAAACAAAAAAATAGATCAACATTTCTTTAGGACACTGTATAAACATTAAAAGTTTCTCAAACTGATGATTAGTTCACTTGCCTTACTTCCCTCTACCTATTAATAGTTCTATTCAAAATGTTTTAAATTTTTTTTCCGTAAAATTTCAAGTTATAAATTCCTCATTCCATATAAAATCATTGTCATTAACTTACAGTTTTTAAAAGATCAATCTAGATTCAGTTAAGACAGGAAGAAATTCAAGGCATCTTAGTTTTAAAATAATCACGGAGCCCTTTTGATTTTTAAAAAATATTCCTAGATTTCAGAAAGGCTAATTCTTTTAACAGATGTTAAATGTTAAACTCAGGGTATTTTCTTTCAAATGGTTATCACAATACATTTTAAACTCTACTGGGGTGGGGAACATGAGGCCTCAAGGCCTGCAAGTCTAGCCTACGGTCTAGTTTTATCTTTTGGTGAATTTGAGAAGGGACAAACATGGGAATAACATGTTTCAATAAAGGAAAGTAGTATCTTATTTGTTTGGAACTGGCATTCATTAGAAATCTTAGCTTAATCACCAGGAAGGGCAAATAATGTTTCCAGGCATACTATACCATCTTTAAAAAGTTTAGTGCTGTATAATCATGGATAAAATTAACACCCTACGAATGACAAAGTTGCTTAAGATTCAAAAAGCAAAACACCAGCTAATCAAGATGAAAAGAAATATGACTTTAAATGTCCATTTTATAGATAAAACACACAGATGGCTCATAATAAACTTAACAAGTACATATGGTTACCAGAATTCATTTAAACAGCAATGTTCTATTTTTAAAGTATAAGCTTTATTTCTTAATATTAAAGTCCAATATTAATAGCAAGAAAATGGCAAAATCTAAATAGTTCTTGAATGTTAATTAAGTATCTTAATTAAGATTTTAACTTAGACTTGATAATTCCTTTCCTTCAAACAGTTAAGCTGTTGAGTTTGGTTTCCCTGTAATGGTGAAAAAAACTAATGCTGAAGTATATTTGTTATAAAATAAAGCAATCCTATAAGCAAATATTATGCAATCTGAAACCCAGCTTTTTCCACAACTGAAAGAAAACAGGAAACAGATTACAGGAACTTCCAGTTATGCTGAAGTGGTCCCTAATAACCTCATCAAATGGTATGGCAAGTATGTATTTTGCTACACACACAGCAAATTACAATCTTATATTTATGCTTCAGCACTATAAACATTCCTTAGAATTTTGAGCATTCCTTTCCAAATACTTTTTTTTTTAAAAAAAGCCCAAGGTCTTTTCTGAACAAATATTTCCATTTAGAAAGTGTCTGAGTTTTTTAATTTTCAAATTAAAAAACAGGAACATATTTAGCAACTAACTCTGGCCTTCTGAATTATCCTGTGCCATCCAAACAATTAGAGAGGCAACCTTCCATAGTAGACAGAGCATTGGCCTCTGAGTCAGGAACACAGGGACACTAGTCCAGTCTCTGACACCTACTAGCTATGTGACCCTGGGCCAGTCACTTAACCTCTGAGAGCTCTAGGAAGTTCTAAATCTATAAAGTGGAAAGACAGTGCCAACCTGCATTGGTAGAAGTTCCTCACCAAGAGCTGCCTATACTAATGATATTAGAAGCTTCTGTTACTATCTCTGCTCAAAAGATCATTTTTCCCCAACAAATGAACATAACCTGAGGTAAAATCACTACTAGTGGGTTAGGTCAAGGTTGGTTGTATAAACTTGTGGACTGCAGCAAGCAGCCAAGAGTCTTTGGCTCTCTTCTGATTCTATTACTCACATACAGGCCTATGATACCACATCTATTCAAATTTCAGCTATTCCAAACATTGCCAAGAATCCAAAAGAATGTCAAATAGATCTTAGAAGTCAATTTTTTTTAACCAAACCTGTGATTTCATTGGCATAATGAGCTTTAATGAAGAATTTCCCATACCAATGTTGTAAATGTAATAATAACAATGATAATATAATAAATAATAACAATGATAATGTAATATTAATAACTATCATTTATATAAGGCTTTGATTTGCAAAGCACTTTATAAATACCTCATTTGATTTTCACAATAACCCTAGAAGGGAGGTGCTACTGTTATCTCCATCTTACAGATGAAGAAATTGCAGCAGACAATTAAACGATTTGCCCAGGTTCACACAGCTATTAGGTGTCTGAGTCTGGATTTGAATTCAGGTCTTCCTGACTCCTGGTTCAGTGCTCCATCCACTGTACCACCTGGCCGCCTCTAGGTAGCTCAGATGTACCTTCTCTGTTCTTGACACAATGCTTGGTATTGTAAGGAAGATAGTAAATAAGTAGGCACTTGATAAATGTGTGTTGACAGGACTGCAACACAGAGTTGCCAAAAGGCCTGATAGGGTAAATGACTAAGGAGTCCAGGGTCACACTATCAGTAGGTGGCAGAAGTCACACCAGCAGTATAGACTCAGAGACAAGTCTTCCTGATTTTGAGGCCTGATCTCAACATCCCTCACAGGCAACAATGCTGCCAAAATAGATGCAACAAAAGGTGAGGCACCTAAAGCTGGTGCATTTTGCTCATATCAGAACCTTTTAAGTTCCTCATTCAGAGCCCACTTACTCTGATTTTACACTTTATCTGGTCTCCAAATCTCCAACAGATTAGAAGTAACAAATTAGAAGGGAGGAAGAGAAAGAAATAGCTAGTTAGTAAGGGTTGAAAAGTACTTCACAGATATCATCTCTTTCGATCCTCACAGTCCTGTAATATAGGTCCTATTATCTCCATTTTACATATGAGGAAACTGAGAAGTTAACCAGGTCACACAGCTATTAAGTGTCTGAGACACAACTCAAACTCTAGTCTTCCTGACTCCAAGTCCTGAGCTCTATCCACTATACCACAGGCTGACATCCCAAAAGTGTGCTCAGGTTGGCTCTGTCCATACTTTTAAGTTTTAAGATCATACTTCCACATTTGAGTCAGTAAGAATGTGAGTGGCATGGCAGAAATGATAAGACAGTAGAAGCCAGAAAAGGAATTAGAAGTAAGTGTAGGTTTAGAGACTTTGCAACTCATGAAAATCATGAGTTCATGGCCCATTTGCTTCCCTTCTCATAATCTCACTGTACTTCCCAATTCTACATTCTGTCTTACTTTTTAATTCTCCAAAATACACTTTTGAGGAGGAAATCACAGAAAACAGGGTTTATAAAAAAATTTTTTGGCAGTTATCTACATGTTCAATTAAGGAAAGATTGGACAAACTAGTAGATTACATCATAACAATGAAAAAATATGAGGAATGTGGAAAGAAATACAAAATAATGTGAAGTGAAGGTGGCAAAATTAGAATCATTATACACTCAATATCGATAACTATATGAAAAATGAAAAAATTGTTTTGGGGTCTACCTCTACTATTTCTCCACTGTTTACTATCAAAGTTCTCTGCTCCACCCTGGGGGAGATAAAAATTTAAACAAAACAAGGACTCTGACTTCATAGAATTTAATATATTCAAGAGAAATAAGACAACAACACAGATACTAAAAACATGATATTTCATTAAAGCATTAGCAAGTTATAAAACAAGGCTGTTACTAAAGGGGGGTTAGGAGGGAAGGAGTTATTTATCAGTGGAAGCTTCCAGAAGGAGGTAACATTTGAGTTTTGGTTTAAAGTATAAGTTTAAAGGAATTTGACAGAAGACAGGGAGAGAGACCACACCTAATACAGGCAATAACACAAGAACCTGGGGGATGCTGGAGGGGCAGAGCTAGTCTAATGTGGCTACATCATATAGCACACAGAAGGGAGAAACATGAGACAAGGGAAGCTGCTCCCAAATTGCACAGGGCCTTGAATGCCAGTAGAGTTTCAATTTTGTTTCACAGACAATAGGGAGCTACCTAAGATTTTTTGAGCAAAGGCAGCAGCAGAATGAAGACCTAATTAGAGGGCGAAAGAGCAGCAAAAGGAAGACCTGAAAGGAGGTTATTATAATAGTCTAGGTGGGTATTAATGAAGGACTTATACTAAGATAGGGGTAAATGGGAATTAAGAGGTGGTGCTACATGAGAGGAAAGCTGTGGAGAGAAAATCAACAGGATTTAGAGAGATGGAGGAGAGAATCAATAAGCATTTAAGTGCCTACTATTTGCTAGGCACAACACAAGGGCAGGACATAAAAACACAAATATAAAAAGTGAGAAGGTACCTAATCTCAAAAGGAACCTACATCCTTCTAAAGGGACACAACTAACATTCAGATAAGAAAATAAAGGGGAAGCTAGGTGGCACAGTGGACAGAACTCCAGCCTTGGAGTCAGTAGGGCCTGAGTTCAAATCTGGCCTCAGACACTTGACACTTATTAGCTGTGTGACCCTGGGCAAGTTACTTAACCCTGATTGTCCCACCAAAAAACAAACAAACAAACAAACAAACAAACAAACAAAAAACCAAACCCCTAACAAGATGCTAGAGCATAAAAATTCATAAATAAATACAGAGAAAGATAAATATTAAACAGATAAAAAATACAGTATACATATAACATATACAATGACAGGGGATGGGGATGGAGAGGATTGCCTTGCTGGAGCCAATCAGGAAAGGTCTCTTACAGAAGATGACTCAAGCTGAGCCCTGAAGGGAGCCATGAGTTCCCAGAAGCAGAAGTAAAGTATGGTAGAGAGCCTGTGCAAAAGGCAGCAGACAGAATGGAACAGAAACATGTACAGGAAGGACAAGTTTGGCTAGAATGTAGAAGGCATGAATGAGAATAATTTGCAAATAGATTTGGAAAGACAGACTAGAGTCAAGTTATGAAAAGATTAAACAGAAGAGTTTGTGTTTTATGCTAAAGGCAACAGGTAGGCACTGAAGAATCTTAAGCAGGGAAGTGATGTGGTCCAGCCTGTGTTTTAGCTGTGTGGAAGCCTGACTAGAGATCGGAGAGACTAGATAC